GTGTGTTGGTGGAGGCAGGGAAGGGGGCCGGAGTACAACGAGGCTCAGCCCCTGCATGGGGCTCATGCAGAGAAAGGCTCATAGGATTGGAGGCAGTCCATCAGCTGCCCGGGCAGCCGGCCGGGCAGGGAGCTGCCCACCGTGCCTGCTGTGGCTGGCCGAGTTGGTCCCCACGTCCGTGTGGAGCTGACGTTCGGCCAGGTTGGTCAGGCTGATGCAGATGGGGGTCAGGGCCTCTGTGTAGTCTGTCTCCATGATGTAGCAGAGGAGCCTGACCCAAAACTCCTGGGGGGTGGGGGGCGATGGGGAGACAGAAGCCCAGAATTAGCCAGGGGCATTGCCCCATGGTCACCCCAGGGGAGCCACCAGGCTCCGTGCAGAGTCTGGCCTCGCAGAGCTGTCCATGCATCTCCTCGGCCCTGAAGGACTGGCTCCACTGCCAACCCTGGTCTGTTCCAGGGTATCTAAGCACCACCAACGCTGAGATGGCATGGGACAGCTCCCCCTGGTCCCTGCCAAACCTGGAAAACCCTGGGTCCAGCCCCTCTGTCCCTGCTGCCCTCGTACCGCGACTCACGTCCTCTAATGCAAGGTCCTCCCTCGGACTCCAAGTCCTCTCAAAGCACACACTAGGCAGGCAGCCTCTCCATTTTTGCCGGTGACCTTGGGTCTGTACAACTGGCCCTTCACCTTCAGTGAGTGGCATCTCCCGCCCCTCGCTCTCCTCTTCTCCACGGCTCTCTCTTGATGGCCATGGAGCAGACCCAGCTAACCCTGCCCCCCCTGCCCACCGCTCTCCTCACTCTCATCCCCTAAGAGTTTGGGGTGAGGTTTCAGTTCTACCAACTAACAAATGCCCTTGCCGGGCCTGCTCCAGCCAGCAGGACTAGCATCCCCCTGCTCCTGAGTCCCCCACCCCCTCAGGAGGCAGCGTGGTGACCTGGAAGGAGGGTTTCAACCTGCCTCCCCCGTTTGTCAGCTGTGGAGTCTCCAGAAAATGAATGCATCCCTCCGAGCACGAGTTTCCTACTCTAAAAGGCCAAGGTCACCATCTGAGAACCTGCCTCGCAGGGCTGTCGTAATCATCGGATGAGCTTCGGCAGACAGCGTCCCTAGTCCCTTACTTGGGACGGGTAGATGCCCAGCGGACTGTCGCTCCAAAGACCAAACTCACTGCCGTCGAGTGGATTCCAACCCACGGCGACCCTGTACTGTTATTATCCTCACCGCTTGTGTAAGTAAGGCAAGCAGCCACCGCACCACGAGCGTCAGCCCTCACCGAATAGACTGTTCATCTCTGCTCGGTGGCGGTATTGAATGTGTTCCCTATCTTACCGCTGCGGCACATTGTATCATTCTCACCGCATGTGCACCAGAGGTGATGGAGCCCAAGGCCTCACCAAATGGACCACGGTTCCGTCCTCCTGTGAGCCGGCACCGACGTGATGGCAGTGACAGACGGAGGGAGGGAGCCTTCCTCGATGCTGCCTTTGTAAGCCTTCCTGTCCTGCTGCTGTGACCCAGTGTATTGCAATCCCAAGCCCACACGTCTGTTTTCTCTGTAGCCTACAGATCTCCTGGGCTCCCTAATATCCACCTCCTTCGGTGGACACCCTGGTGCCTTTAGCCCAACAGGGACTTAACTGATTATCTGTGTCACTGAACAGCCAAAGCCTTTTTCTTGACCCCGCTGCCCACACAGAGTGGGCAGGACGTGCTGCAAGGTGGTGGGCACCTCTCAGGGAACTCATCACCTCATGGTGTATCAGAGTCTCTGTGTGCCTGGCGCTGCCAGAGACCAGGAGCAAGTGCCCTTCAAGGTGGTCCAGCTATGGCACTGGGTCTTGAGGGATGAGAGCTCAGGCAGTTACAAGAGGAAGACGCTCCGGCTGCCCCAACCACCCCAAGCATGGCGGCGGAAGAAGCGACAGCGGTGGCACTGGGCGCCTGGGCATGGTGGTCCCTCCTGGGCCTGGCTGGCACAGAGCAGGCAGGAGCTGAGCCCAGCAGGGAGGCTCATGTGCGTGGAGGGGTGGGGGCTGGGGGGCTCACTCACATTGGTCATCCCGCTGACCGAGGAGGTGATGATCCTCACAGTGTCCATGGTGACTTTGTGGACCATCTTCTCCTCCAGGTCCCTCTGATAAAAACTCTCCCGGCGATTTGTCTAGAAGGCAGTCCCGAGGGCCCCCGGATGTGGGGTGTGAGTGGGGCTGGGGCTTCCTATAGCCCTGGCTGTTGTCTCCTGACTCCCATGGGGCTTGCTACCCAGGCAGATGTGTGTTTGTAGGGGGGGAGAGGGTTGTTCTCTGAGAGGCTCAAGGTCAGGCATGCCTCTACCATGAATTTTAGATTCCTGGGATATGCATTGGCTTGCTGACCTCGAGCGGGAGGTTGGCAGTTTGAAACCACCAGCCGCTCTGTTGGAGAAAAAGGAGGCTGTGTGCTCCTGTGAAGAGTTCCAGGCTCAGAAACCCAGGGGGAACAGTTCTAGAATGTCCTATGGGGTCACTGTACTCTACTCACTATACTGATCATTCTGACAGTGAGCGAGCTCTATGGCTACGCAGACCTTCCCCTGCCAGCCTGCGGTGAGTCTGGGTCCCTGCATCACAGATGCATATGCCTGGGAGCTCCAGGGTAGGTGGCACACTGCCCGGTGGGAGCCATGCCCAAAGTCCAGCTGCTCCTACTCTGGTGAGTAGCAACTGGGGTCCGGAGAGCCCATGAGTGGGCAAGTGAATCTATTGCTCTCTCACAAACTGTCCAGAGGACTCAGGGATTGTGCTAACCTCGCCCTCCTCAGCCCTGAGACCGGAAGAACTAGATGGTGCCCAGCCGCCAGTGCCAACTGCTCTAAAGGATCCCATTAGAAGGTCCGGGTGAGAGTGGGGACAAAGAAAGAAAGATGGAACAGAACAAAAACCATAAAAAAGGACCAGGCCTGCTGGTCACACAGAGACAGGCGGGCCCCTGGAGACTGTGCCCCCTCAGCCACCCTCCCAGCCTGGAACTGAACCCAACCCGGGGGCTCAACGAGTGATAACACCAGGGAGATGTGAACGCCTTGGGATAATTGGGGATGGGGCTCAGGGGGCAGGCAGGGACGGAGAAGCCACACTGCTTGGAGAACTTTCACTCAATGGTGGAGTCTGGTCTGCCTGCTGGGGTCACTCACCAGCTTGTAGGTGGACAAGGTCAACTGTACCGACACGTACTTCAGCCCCCAGCCTTTGATCCTGTCCTGGTAGCCAGACAGCGCCAACTGGCCGATGATGCGGAGAATGGCCATCCTCACCTGAGTGGGCGGGGTGTGTGAGGATGGTGGGAGCAGGTGTGGGCTTCCAGGGTAGGAGGCAGCTGGGACTTGGGGACCTTCTGGGCCAGAAGTGCTCGTTCTACCCACCCCCAGCCCCCGTGTCATCCAAGGGTCCCCTCCCTATAGCACCCCAACCCAGGAGTCTCGTCTGCACCCCAGAGACACAGGATCTTTGGCATGGGGTGGGGAGAGACTGGAGCCCTGGTGGCGCAGCAGTGACACAACTGGGCTGTGATCTTCAAGATCAGCAGTTCGAAACCACCAACCATTTCTTGAGAGAAAGATGGGGCTTTCGACTCCCGTAAAGACCTACAGTCTTGGAAACCCACGGGGGCTGTTCTACCCGCCCTACGGGGCACTGTGAGTCGGCATCGACTCAGTGGCAACGAGCTCAGCTGTTGAGTGGAGTTGGTTGGTGGGAAAGAACGCCTTCCACCCTGGGGTCCCTGGCCACAGTGTCTGTCTGGTCCCAGTCCAGAGCAAACCCGCTCACTCTTCCTCTCACTCTGACTAAATCCCCAGGCCCACATTCTCCCAGAATTCCTCCGCTTCCCTGTGCAGACCCTCCCTGTCCCTGGATCCACAGTCCTGCCACACACAAACCCCCACCGCCCGCCCTCGCCCGCCCCACACACACACACAGCTCACAGCCCAGAGCTGTCCCAGCCCCAGTGCGGCCTGGGAGAGTGGCTTCTGCTTATGGCTTGAGCGCTAGAATTGCCTCATCCAGTCACTTTCCCAAATGAAGTCCGGCCTTAAGCGCCCTACGTCGAGCAGATCAGCTGTGGCTGAAGCTGCATCTTGGGTACCCTGGGCCTCCCCGCTGCCCTAGGGGCTACCTGAAACTCATCATCCCAACCCTTCTGGTTCCCCGCAAATGTGGGGGTCCCTGGAACGAGAGCCACAGCCCTCGCCCCTGGGGCTGGGAAGTCAGGCTTCCTGCCACCGGCCTCAGCTTCAGGGGTCTAGGTCAGGACTGGGCAAAGCAAGGCATGGCTTTGTTATCACCAAATCGTATGCCTGGGCACTGGCCCATCGGCCAAGGTTGTGTTTGATGCATGCCAGTTTATAAAAAACTGTGCTTGAGGAAGCCAGATGGGGGTCGTCCGCCCCAGGGAGGCTGATGTTAGCCCTGCCCCCTTATCCCTGTCCCTGCCCTGGTACCTTGGACCTGGTGTCAGAGAGGGTGTTCTTGACCACCCTGATGGCCAGGTGGATGGTCCTCAGGCTCATCTTGGGCTCTGCAGGAGGAAGACCCACGTGGGCCGCCAGGGTCAGGGCTCAGAGGGCAGATTCCAGGAGAGGCAGCGCAGCTGACGGGGCCTCCTCCAACCCACTCGCCCGCCAGCTCCCTCCAGGAGTGGAGGCTCAGTGAGACCTCAGGTGACAAGCCCCCACCCCCCTCCCACCTGCAGGGAGTCTCTCAGGCCTCAGCCTTCTTCCTGCTCCTCTGCCCCTTGTCCGTCGCCCCCCACCCCCCATAAGCTCAGGGGCACTTCTTGCTGGATCACCTGACCCAGTTCCCACCTCCTCCCTCACAGACCTGCCCCTGCTGCCCAACCCCACACCCTCACACAGGTAGGCTTGCTTTTAGGCCACACTCCCTCAGCAATGGCTTTGAGGGAGGGTCTTGGGAGACAGGTAGGATTGCCCTTGAGGGCAAGGCATCCACCTAAGGTCACCCTGAAGCTGGGAGCACACTTCTGGGCCCACAGTGGCGCAGGGAGGCTGCAGGCCCAGCCGTGCAGAGGGGGGACCCTCTGGGGCAGCCTGGGGTTCGAGTCCAGTCTCCACCACATCCTAACTGTGCACCCTGGAGAGAACCGCTCGACTCCTGCACCTCCCTTTCCTCGGCCACCCTACAGGAGAGGGACGATGGCGCCCCCCACTCGGAACTGCAGTGAGGACGGAGTCAGGGCGCGGTGCGGGGTGTGTGTGCTCATCAGGGAACCCACCATGGAAGGAGTGGAGGTTTGGGAAGGCAGGGAAGAGCCTGGAGAAGGTCCTGGAGGGGACGTGGGCGGATGGGTTAGAGTGAGGCCCTCAGCCAGGGGTGTGCAGCCAACTTTCTGCCCAGGGCCATTTGGACGTTGGTAGCATCATTCGTGGGCCACACTGACCAAGCTGGGCTGCTAACCTCAAGGTCAGAGCAGTTCGAAACCATCAGCTGCTTGGTAAGAGGAAGATGAGGCTTTCTACTCCCATAGAGATGTTCAGTCTCAGAAACCCAAAGGGGTAGACAGACCCACCCTGTCCTGTAGGGTCACTATGAGTCAACATTGGCTTGACAGCAATGTGCTTGGGCTTTCTGAGTTTAAATCTGCATGGGAATCGGTCACCAGGGCCTTTATCCTTTGGAGCCACTGCGTGGGTTTGAACCACTAGCCTTTTGGTTGTCAGCCGGGTCCTGAACCACTGAGCCACCGGGTCTCCCCTACAGGTTACAACTGGACCTTATAGTCAGTCTTGGTTGATAGGACAGAGTAGAACTGCCCCTGTGGGTTTTCTGAGGCTGTAAGTCTTGATGGGACAAGAAAGCCTCTTCTTTCTTCCGGAGGGGATTGGAACGGCTGACCTTGCTGTTAGCAGCCCAAGCCTGTAACCACGGTGCACGGGCCCATCCAAGCAATGTGTACACAAGAGGGGGGGGGGCAGCCCCCTCTCAGCCGCCCGATGGGCTCACCGTCTGCGCTCACGACCGCTCTGAGGAGGCTCAGGGTGCCCACGCGGGTGGCCTCCTTGCTCGTCTCCATTTGGCTGAGGAAGAACTTCATCAGCTCCTTGGGGTAGGAGCGGGCTGTGGGGAGAGGACCATGCTCACCATGCCTGCAGA